CTTACCCTTGGCTTGGTGTGTATATTCTTCATGCCAACACATTAACTCTTTTTAACAGCCCGGATCTGGGCTGGCCTCAGCCAGGGCTCCCATAAAACCCTGACAAACTCCCAGGGCCTTAGAGTACATAGCAGCCTGCCCGAGGGCCCACTGGGGCCAGCCAGCATCTGCTCCATCCCAGCCAGGGTCAAGGTTGGAAGATGAAGCCTTCCAGATAAACCCCACGGGTCCGGGAGGCCTGATCAGACCCCGGGGGGGGGGGCACACTGAGGCCACACTGAGGCCGGCTGAGAGAGGCCACACCCCAGCAACAACTTAACCTATTCCCCCCCACCTCAGTGACCAGCTACCATGCATCATTAAGGGTCATTTCCTCACCAGGATTTTGCTTTCCCTGAGTTATCATCCAGATTTCTCCCGGACTAAGATAGTGGGCTCCTCATCCTAACCCTGAGGGCTGTAGAAGTCACCTAATCACATCTGCTTGTTTTACAGATGGGGAAAGTGAGGCCCACAGAAATCGATTGATTTTCTCCCTATATGTGCAGCCTCCTGCAATTAGAATATGGGCTCCTCAATGGTGAGGACCGGCCCATCTCTATTTCCTGTGCATAGCACAGTACTTGGCTCTTCGTAGCAGTGTGATAAATGCTTTTTTTTATTTCTTCATTCCCTCATTCAAGTAGTAGAGCTAGGATATGAATGAATGAATGAATGAATGAATGAATGAATGAATGAAAAACATTTATTAAGTGCTTATAATGCACCATGCTCTAGGGACACAAAAAGCAAAGTGCTTTGAGGAGGGTGACCTACAGGTTAAGGGGCCTCCAGTCACCGGTGACTGACCACGTGATCCAAGGAGCAGGATAAGAACCTGGCTCCAGGAAAGCAGGGAACCCGTCATGATGCTGGAGCCCCAGCCCTGAAACTTAGCACCTGTGTGACCTTGGGTAAGTCACCTCCCTTTTCTGGGTCTCACTTGCTCCCCCTCCAAAATGAGGGCATTAGACCGGATGATCGCTGCCAGCTCTGAATCTGCCCAGGAAGCGCCGACTGGTCCCTGGCCACCCCCATTCCCTTCTATTCACTTTGCCTCGAGTTCCTCGTTCCCAATCACTTCCTTGTTCAGCTTGCGTCCCCCACAGAACGTAAGCTCTTTGGAGGCAGGGACTGGTTTGTTTGGTTTTTTGTCTCTGTGTCCCCAGTAGCATCCTGCACATAGTAGGCTCTTAAGAAATGCTTGTTGAGGGGCAGTGAGGTGGTGCAGTGGATAGAGCACTGGCCCTGGAGTCAGGAGGACCTGAGTTCACATACTAATTGTGTGACCCTGGGCAAGTCACTTAACCCCACTGCCTAACCAAAAGAAAAAAAGAAATGTTTGTTGATTGATTGATTGATTGATATACACGATCAAGAAGGCTTGGGGAAACCACCACAGAAGGATTGACATTTAAGAAAATCTCTAATGAAAATATGAATGGCGTTCTCAGGCCCCTCTCCCTTCTCAAATCACATTTAAAAAAAAAGTAAAAAAAAAAGGGGGGGAGCAGCTAGGTGGCACAGTGGATAGAGCACCAGTCCTGGAGTCAGGAGGACCTGAGTTCAAATCTGACCTCAGAAATTTGGCACTTACTGACTGTGTGACCCTGAGCAAGTCACTTAACCCCATTGCCTAGCAAAAAACAAAAACAAACAAACAAGCAAAAAAAGTCAAATCACATTCCATGTATTTGTTGAACAGTGTTTAGAGCTGGAAGGAGTCTCAAAGGCCATGTGGTCCAAACCCCTGCTTTTACAGGTGTAGAAACTGAGGCCCGTGTGGTTTCACACACAGCCCCTACAGTTGGTGCTTCCTGAGAGCCCCTGGCTCAGCACCAAGTAAACAGCAGGTGCCTAATCAAAGCTGCTTGATCCAATGCATTTTGAAAGGATTTTAAGGTTTATAAAGCACTTTATTTCCCTGGATACTCAAGAACCTTGTAAGGAAGGGATTGAAAGTATTATTCTACCCATTTTGCAGAGGAGGAAGATGAGGCTTAGGAGTTGCTGTAGGGAGTGAATTGTCCACGACTGGTCTCCCTGCTAGGGTCAGAGGCAGGATTTGAAGCCTGCTCCGCCCACTCTCCCAGGCAGACCACTCCCACATCTGCATGTCCAGAGCTGACCTCACCGCTGAGCTGCACCCCTGCACATCCAGCTCTGTGAAGGACCCCTCCAACCAGAGGGCGCAGGGCATCTCCAATCCCAATATGCCCCAAACCTGCTACTCGCTTCTGTCTCTGATCTAATCTTGACCTACAACCGATTCATCTTCCTGCGTAGATTCGGCCATGGTGAGCCTCTGCCTGGTACCTCCAGGGGCTCCCTCTTGTCAACCAAGTAAAGCTGACGTTGCTTGCCTTGGCATTGAAGACCCTTTACAATCTGCCATCAACCCCACTTTCCGTTATTATCTCCCAGGGTTCCCTTCTAGGCCCCAGCCAACCTGAACAACCCTGGCTCCTTTCTGAATGACCTGTGTAATGTAGTGGATAGAGCACCGGGCTTGGAGATAGGAAGATTTGGATTCATATCTCACCTTAGAGACATTTGCTTACTGTGTGATGCTGGCAAGTCACTCTCTGGGCCTCAGTTTCTCCACTGGCAAAATGAGGCAGTTGGACTCAATGACGTCCAGTTCCAGAATCCCTTTCCAGTTCTCCTACTCTCACCCCACCCTCATGCCCCTTCAGGCCTGATATTTCCCAGGTTCTATGACTTTGCTCAGTATTTTCCCTGAAATGTCCTCCTTATCCTCTTCACCAAATGAATTCCCATTCATTTTTTAAAATCCAGCTCATTTTCTTATTTTGTATTTAAGTTTTAGTGTTTAAGTATTTAAATAAATTAATAAAAAGAAAAAAAAATCCAGCTCAAATCTCCCCTCAACCAGGAAGCCTTCCTTGACACCTCTCCTTCCCCAAGGCAGGAATGTCCTTCTGCCTCCAGAGCTCCCTGGGCACTGCACTGGGCCTAGTCTCAGGCATCTGTCTCCTGATACCGTACACCACCATTATCGGTTATTGGATTTCCTCGTACTCCCAACGATGAGATCTGAGAGGCCACAGCGTTGAGGGGCTCTAAACTCTGGATCTCCCCCACCACCCAGCACAAGGTTTTCTAGCTACATGCATTTAACCCATCTTTGTCCAATCGAAATGAATTGGTGGGAGGAGGAAGAACTCCGTCTCACTTTGGTAAACCCTCGGGGAGCAGCTGCAGGGTCAGTAGGAGATCCCTTGGATTCACTTGGACCACAGTGACCCAGAGATACCCAGAAAGAAGACAGAGTTGAGAGAAAAAAGAATCCTCAGCACATGGCAATGGATTGGAGGGAGAGTACAGCCAGAGAGGATTCTTTGGACGATGGTCTGAGAGATAGAACATGGTGAGGCCAGCAAGAGAAATAAGGTGTCAGAGGATTCTGAAATTCTTGGATGAGCCCCATCTGTATCTGAATCAGGGCACCTCTAAAACGTTTCAGACTGACTCCATTTGAAGCTGTCCAGTGACAGAGAGCTCACTCCTTATCAGATCTACTTTTTTTCCCTTTCCAAATAGTTCTGATGTTAAAAAGCTCTTCCTTACATACCTCCTGTAGTTTTTTCCCATGGCTCCTCCGGGTTCTACCTTGTGGAGCCAAGCAGAGCAAGGCTAATCTCTCCTCCCTTCAAATATCTGAAGGCTACGAGTGTATCTACTATGAATTATCTCTTCTCCAGGCTGAAGGTGGGAGAAGGGGTGGGTCTGGGGGCAGGATCCCCTCTGTGGCCCCATCCTCCCCACCCCCAGCCCTGGGCACCATCCTGTGGTCTGGCTCTTCAGGAAATGTTCAATCCCAGGGGAAGCTGCTCCTGGGATGTGGTTAGAAAGTCAGCCTCAGGCCAGATGCTGGAATGCACTTTCAGCAGGTGCTGGAGCCCCTCCCAAGCCACAGTCAGTTCTCAGACGAGTCCTCGTCACCCGCCAGCCCTTCCCATAGCCTGTGAGACCTGCTTCATGCCCCATCTCCTTCCTCCCTGTGGTTACCAGGAGATTGTGGGCCACATTAGGAGAGGCGCATGGCTTTCAGGAAGAAGGAGGAGATTGACCACCCCCCTCTTCTGTGGGCCTTCCCTCTCTTATTTCCTGCATAGCTTGTTTGTATGTATTTGATGTTGGTTGCCTCCCCCATTCAGTTGTGAGCTCCTTGAGGGCAGAGGCTGTCTTTTGCCTCTTTTTGTAACCTTGGCACTTGGCTCAGCCCAATGTGCCAGGCACATAGTAGGCATTTCATAAATGTATTCAGGCCATATCTAGAACACTGTCTTTAGTCCTGGGTCCTAGGGGTTGGGAAGGACCCTGTCCAGCTGGACAGAGGGCGTCCAGAGGGGATCAAACTAGAGAAATGGGAGGATGCCAGTTTGGGAAGAGTTTTAAATGCCCAATAGAGAAGTCTGGAGTCAAGAGTGATGACGGGGCAGGGGAGTGACATGGTCAGACATAAACTAAAGGCCTGCCAGGGGTATGAAGAATGGGGTAGAGACCATTTAGGAGGCTATTGTAATAGCCCAGGGAGACACAATGAGGGTCTGGACCAGAGTCATGGTGGCTGTGTGAAGGAAAGGGGGGTGGATACCAGAGATGACCTTGAAGGCAGAATCAATGAGTCTTGGCACAAAGTTCTTTCCTTCTCCAAGGGGAGAAGGAGGAACATAAATTTTCTAAACCAAGCACAGCATTTCCCACCAATGTTTGCTGACTGACCCACTGACCCACTGTCCTTTGGACGACAGACAGTAATGATCGTGGGGATGTGTTTCTTAATGCCTCTTGTCACTGTCATCACAACCCCCTCCTCACTATGAAGGAGACAGATAAATGTCATTGTAACCATCTCTCATCTACTGAACAGACAGAATGAATCCCACACATAATCCCTCTCCACGTGACCCCACAATTCATTTCCCGCTCTCTACCTGCACCGAAGGCAAAGAAGAAACTCTTGTCCCCATTCTCGCGCAGCAGCGCCATGACCCGCCGAGCCATCCTCTCGTTTCGCTTGTAGATGAGCTCCTGGCGGAAGTAGCTGTCGATCTCCTGGGCCGTGGCCTGCTCGTGGGGCGGCAGCGTGGTGTTGATGAAGTTGGGGAGCTGAAGGAGAAAGGAGCATGACTTTTTAGGATTGGACTGTCCGGAGGATGGATGGAAGGAGACATTCGTTCACTGAGTCATTCAATAAGCAGGTTTCCTCCTTTGCCAAATGGGGACAAACATTGATGCTACCGACCTCTCCGGGCTATGGTACAAATGGAGCTTTGTAAACCTGAGACAGAAGTGATGGAGAGGATGAGGATGATGGCGACGTCAGTGGGATGTCACAGGAGAGTGTGGTGCAGGACCCTGGGGTCCCCCAGTTTACCCCTCCTATCTGTAGTCTGCCACGATGACCCCCCGGAGCTCAGGTGGGTCCTTTCCCTTCTGAGCCAAAGGGAACCCTGACCTGCCTCCCCAGCAGGGCGGTGGTGAAGGTCCAGTGGATGGACACGCCACACACCCTCTTCAGCCTCAGTTTCCTCTTTTGTAAAACAATTAGATTCAACCAGCATTCATTTGTGCTTTTAGCAAACTCAGTGGGATGGTTGCTGGAATGGGACACATACCACCTGTACAAGCTTGGGCAAGGCAATTAGCTTCCCTGGGCCTCATTTTCCCCATCTGTAGGATGAAGGGCAAGACCCAATGGTCTCTGAGGTGCTTTCTTGCTCTAACTTTAAGATGCAACGGAATCAGGAGTGTCCTGGGTTCTAATCTTGTCTCTTATTTACAGGCTTGTAACCCCAGACCAATCGCTTCTTCTCCGAATCTCATTTTTTTATGGAAATGGGGATGAGAATATGAGAGAGCCACCACTGGCTTTTGCTCTACCTTGCAGCGTGACTTTGGGCAGGTCACTTCCCTTCCCAGACTCCAGGCTGCCATTTTGGTGGTGGCGGTGAGTCATTTCAGTCTTGCCTGACTCTTTGTGACCTTGTTTGGGGTTTTCCAGTGGCAGAGCTACGAGAATGCTTTGCCACTTCCTTCTCCAGCCTATTTTACATATGAGGAAACTGAGGCGAACAGGGTTAAGCGACCTTGCCCAGGGTCATACAGCTAGTGTCTGAGGCCAGATTTGAACTCAGGTTTTCCTGACTCCAGGCACTCTATCCACTGTGCTACCTAGCTGCCCTGGTTTCCATTTACTCATCTGTATAATAGGGTTGGTGGGAAGGAAGTCTTTTATTAGCCTTAACATTCTTGAGAAATAGGAGCTGTTCTCACTACGGAGGGCCGAGGACCCAGAGACCGGGGGGCTGTCTCAGTTCTGCCAGGAGCTCATTGTGGGCCCCACGGTGAGGGAAATTCTCCCTCCCCCAGAGGTTTCCTCCCTCCCTGGAAGCCCAACCAGGAGTCACCTTTGCCTTTCCCATACCAGATCACTAAGTGCTAGCCTTCTTCCCATTCCTATTCAATTCAATTTAATAAACATTTATTAAGCGCCTATGATGTGCTAGGTGGCACAGCGAATATAGCACCAGGCATGGAGTCAGGAAGACCCGAGTTCAAATCCAGCCCTAGACACTTACTAGCTGTGTCACCCTGGACAAGTCAAGTAACCCTGTTGGCCTCAGTTTCCTCATCTGTAAAATAAGCTGGAGAAGGAAGTAGCCAACCATTCCAGGATCTTTGCCAAGAAAATGTCACATTGCATCCCAAAATGGGATCACAAAGAGTCAGACATAACTGAAACAACTGAACAACAGCAACGTGCTAACCCCTGAAGCAAAAAAAGCCAAAAGACAGTCCCTGCCCTCAAGGAGTTTGCCATCTAATGGAAGAGACAGCACAATACAGACAAAGCAAGCTATCTACGGGATAGATAGAAAAGCCCTGGAATTCAGAGGGGTTAGGAAAGGCTTCAGATTGAGAGCTAGAAGGGGCCTCTGAGGCCAAGGAGTCCAACCCCGTTTACGATGAATTGTCGGGGCCGGACGTCTGAGGTGGGATCTGCACCCCTGACTCCCAGGCCAGCTCCGGTCCTCTCTGGTGCTACGTGCTCAGTCTGGTATAGGCGCTCACTCAGCACAACTAGCAAGCGTTTGTTAATATGGGCCTGTGTTCAGATCTATGGAAACAGACAGACACACAACGGAGGGACCCTGCCCTCGAGGAGTTTCCCTTCTAAGGCAGGGAAGGACAGTGACACAAGGGTGGGTGTCAAGGAGAGCCAGCTAACATTCGGTGCATCTTCCAGGGTGGGCAGAGCCCCTCCTTTCCTGCCATGAGCCAGCGCCTGGCCTGCAGGGGCCTCGCCTCCCAGCTCCCCTAGGGACTGAGGTGGCCCAGCAGGGCTCTGGACCAGGAAAGCCCGCCATGCTGGGAACCGCACACATCCTTCCAGGTGCATTCTCTCCCGGCTGCTCCGGGAAGGCTGCAGCCTGGGACTCCTTCAGTAGCTGACCAAGTACAGGTACAGAGGAGGGGGAGAGAATTGGAGTCAGGTCTGGGGTGGAGGGACAGGGCTGAGGTCTGCTTAGCTCAGACCGCGACTGGGTACAGTGGAGACAGCGCAGGGTTTGGAGGCAGAAGGCCTGGATTTGAATATGACCTCTCTGAATGACTGCCCGTGGCCTCAGATCCACCACCTGAAAAATTATGGGTTTAGGCATAATAATAATAATAATAATAATAATAATAATAATAATAATGAAACTTCTGTTTCTATAGTGCTTCAAAGTTTACAAAGCACTTTTCAGACATGATCTCACTTGAGTATCCTGACAACCCTGAGGGGCTGGGCCTACAGGTATTATTAGCTCCACTACAAAGAGTTTTGTTCCTGACAGGCCTGGGAAGTGAGCAGGGTGAGACTCGCAGAAGAAATGAGGAGGCACCACAGTGAGGGAGGGCAAGGGGTAGGATTCAAACTCAGGACCCGTGGGTGACCTCAAGGCAGCTCTTTTCCACCAGGCCCTCTGCTCCTCCTGGCCCCTTCCCCAATGCTGCTGAGAACAGCTAGGGCAGGCCTGGAGCTCTGGGTGCCAGGGACCGCAGCAGGCGGCCTCTCGATCTGAATGAGAACTTGGTAACCAGACAGGCTGAGGATTCCAGGTCCGAGAAGGCCCCAGCCCCAGGCCGGGCACGCAGGGGGAAGACGGAGGGGTTCTGGCCTGGCCTGAGCTGAAGGTGACCAGGATCGGGGGCAGCAGGGGCCCAAGCAGGGCTAGCTGCTTCTAACTGTGGAGTAGCATCTCTGTGCCGCCCCCCAGCCTCGCCAGCAACAGGAAAAGCCCAGGGAATTTATTCACCTTCTTCTGGTTCCCCACTCTCTGTCTCTGCCCTCTGTTCCCTCTGAGAGAGGTTCCTGCTGTTGGGTGTTGGAGGGAGCAAGGGAAGTTTTCTGTATCCAGGCTGGACCATGATCAAAGGGGAGATGGGGGTGGGGAATGGCAGCCTCCTTCTTACTGAACCATCAGCTTCCTCATTTTACCGGGGAGGCCCGTTGGGGAGAGGGACCCTGCCCAGGGTCACAGAGCTAGCTTGAGACAGAGTTAAGATTCGAATCCAGGTTTTCTGAAGTGTGAGGGTTGGTGCCACTAGAAGGGGGCCTGGCTGCCTCCCTCTTACTGGGCTATAGGCTTCCCCCCGCTTTACAGATGAGGCCCCAAAAGGTCAGAGGGTTACAAAGCAAGTAGAGAGTCAGAGCTAGGATCAAACCCAGGTTTTTGCGGGTGCAGTGTGCTGGGCCTCAGCTGGGCAGAGATGGGCACTGGAGCTCCTGGGGGCAGACACTTAGGCCCTTTCTTTGACTTCCTCTTCTCAGCTCTGCCTGCCCCATGCCCAACATCCTTCCAATGCCTGAGAAGCCATCTAAGAGACCCTTGACTCCCAGACGGAGGTCAGGGTCACACAGCCAACTGGTGGCGCTGGGGCTCAGCCAGCTCTCATCGGGCTCTTTTCTACCAGTCCCACAGCCTCCCCTGGGCCTCGCTTAATATCTTCACTGGTCCCCGAGCAATACACTCATGGAGAATGGGAGGAGAGAGAGAGAGACAGAGACAGACAGAGACAGAGAGAAAAACAGAGAGAGAGAGACAGAGTAAGACAGAGAGAGAGAGACACAGAGACAGAGAGAGACAGAGAAAGAGAAAAAGACAGAGAGAGAGAAAGACAGCACGAGAGAAAGAAAGAAAGAGACAGAGAGACAGAGAGAGACAGAGACAGAGAGAAAAACAGAGAGAGAGACAGAGTAAGACAGAGAGAGAGAAAGACACAGAGACAGAGAAAGAGAAAAAGACAGAGAGAGAAAGACAGCACGAGAGAGAGAAAAACAGAGAGAGAGACAGACAGAGACAGAGAGAAAAACAGAGAGACAGAGACAGAGAGATAGAGAGATAGAATAAGACAGAGAGAAAGAAAGAAAGACACAGACAGACAGAGAAAGAGAAAAAGACAGAGAGAGAGAAAGAGAGCAAGAGAGAGAGAGAGAGAGAGAGAGAGAGAGAGAGAGAGAGCATATGTGGCCCACAGCCCCTTCCTGGTCGATTGCTCTGGGATTGGGACGGGATGGCCCTCTCGGCATCCAGAACCATTTACACCTCGTCTCCTCCCAGCAGACTCTGGGGATTACCCCAAAGCCCCCCAACAACAGCAACAAATCCGGTCTCTAGATGTTCCTCTATCTCAAGATTTCTTGTCCTGCCCAGGCTGTTTCTGGCACTTGTAGATTTTGTTATGACTAAAGGTTGAGTAAGTGGACAAAGACCAACAGCCCAAAGAATTGCTCTTCTGTTTACACTTCTCTTGGAAGAGCCAAACATCCATGTGCATGAGGCCTTCGGACTTAAGCAGAGCAGAGAGAATGTGGAAGTGTTTGCTGAGCCTCACGGCTTGCAGATGGTGCACATGAAGTGTGTACAGGAGGGAGGCTATAAATCCAGTGTGCGAGGAGGGAAGGGTCCTTGAGATATGTTTTTAAAAGTATTTCCATTAATTTGATCCTTTAATCCATACACTCATTCTGTGAGGTTATTAGGGCAGCTTTCTTGTCCTCATTTTACAGATGGGCAAACTAAGGCTCACAGAGGTCAGATGACTTGCTCAGAGTCACACGG